TTATGCATTGACGACACATGCTTTTTAGTTGGGGGATTATTTTAAAAATTAAAATTGTTAGTAATCAAGAATGTTGAGGATTGTTTGTTTACTTGAAATTTGATAGTTTGAATTTGTGAATGCGCTCTAATTAGGGTTAGAGTTCTAATTAATTTGTTTTTTCTTTTAATTTAGTGAAATAATTAGGATGCAAAAATTGATTTAATTGGATTTTATTGTATTTGTCTTTTTATTAGGAAAAGGAATTTGGATAAATTTGTAATTCGGAGTAAGAGGTGTTTAACTCTAGGAGATGGTTCTTCGAACGTTCCTAATAAGTCTATTTTAAGTAATGCAATTGTTGTTGCTTCGAATGTAAGTACTATTCCAGATGAGTCTAATGACATTAGAAGAGACAAATGAGCCCGCACAGATAGTACATCTGAGTGGGATATCATTATTGATCCCACATTACGAAAGCCGATCAATGAATATGAACATTGATAATAAAACTATTATGCAATATTTCCAGAATATGAAAATTCATAGGCTTGATTTACCAAATTTGCAGCAGTGAACTATTTAATATGGAATTAACTATTCTGTATAATTTAATTAATACATTTTTTTTTACCATTTTTATTACATTTGGAGTTTTTATTATAGACTAACTTTAGTGTCTAGTGTGCTCCCGCTCTCACAAATCTCTGGGTCCGCCACTGTTGTATATGTCTATATATACAACATTCATGAGTATTATTGAGACTTGAGAGCTTTGAGGTGGAACGAGGCCATTCCTAATTAATTGTATATTTGACAACTAGCTGAAAAAATATTTTAGTTGTGTGAATCTTTTAGTAATTGTTAGTTAGTGACTGAAAATATTTTAAATGACAAATATTGTAGTTGTTTGATAAAAGCTCTCGTATTAGCTATTTAATTTAGTGCATGTATGAATGTATGATAGGCACAAGTCCCAACCTTCTAGTTTTTGTGATATCTAACAGAACTCTCTACAAACTTCTAGTCGTATGATTGACATTCGAATGAATAGTTAAAAGCTTTTTATAAATAAAATTATCTTTTTTTTGAGAAACTAAAATGAGTAGCTTATGAGAAAAATTTGTAGCTTTCAACATTAATTAATTAGTCACAATAGCTTGTTATATCAAAACTTTTTCCCTTCAAAAACTTCTAAGTCGATCACTAAAAGATAGCAGTCAACCAGTCACTAACAACTCACAAAAGTATTTTGAACTAGTTGTGACAAACATATACTTAGTTATGTTTGATACTTTGATATAACAAGTTGTTGTAGTGTTGCCTCTGTCCCACTAACATTGGTACATAAAGAAGTAGTGCGGGTATTAAGAAAAATAAGTTATGTGGTTAATATTGAATTGATAGAGTAAGAATAACGTAAGGATGATTTAAAACCATACAAATTAAGTTTGCCAAATTTGTTATGAGACAATCTTAGTAAAACTGATCGAAAAGAAAAATTTGACATTTTTAATTTGATGAATGGAGTAATAAATTAATGCTAAAAGTTACGGAGTGCAAGTTTTCCGTGAGAAGCTATCTAATGTATCTTTTCAAAAAGGCTCTGGTCAAAACTGGCTTTTGGGGGTAGCTAGGCACCTAGGATGTGCCTAGGGCACCAAAAGCATTAGGGGCACCAATTAAGAAACAATATTAATAACATGTAGTATGTATTCCTTATCTCTAGGGGTGGGATTTTGGAACCGGGAACCGTAAAACTGATTGGAACCGAACTAGGGCTGGGACTTTGGAACCAAGAACCGGAGAACCGAACCGGACCGAACCGTTATGACCCGGTTCGGTTCGGTTCCGACATTTATTAGTTATTTCTTAACGGTTCGGTTCCTATTTTTTATTAACGGTTCGGTTCTCGGTTCCTGAAAAAAATATGTACCAGGAACCGTTAAGGAACCGTTATATATAATAATTAAAATTATATATATTTATTATGGGTATATGTATTTTAATGTATATTTATTTTTATTTTTATATTACATTCATTACTTTAGTTTAGTTATTTAACTATTTAAAATTATATTTTCAAAAAGAAAAACTATTTAAAATTATTATTCACTTCAACCCGTTCTCTTAGGCTTCTTAGGCATCTCATTAGGTCCAAACTCCAGCGGGTCGGAATTCAAAAGGTCCAAAGTATTTAAAATTATTATTCTATTTAACTGATTCATCATATTTGTATTGTAATTTCAAAAGTTGAATGTCTTTTTGACAAAAATTTAGTCATGATTGGTAAGAATTTTTCAAAGACTAGGAACCGTTAAATGACAAGAACCGAACCGTTAAGAACGGTTCGGTTCCTTATCGGTTCTATAAAATATTTTATAAGAACCGAACCGTTAGTAAAATTTCATATTTTCAAACGGTTCCACATATTTTACCTAGGAACCGAACCGGTCCCAGGCCTAAACCGAACCGTTAACAACATTTATGAACCGAACCGTTAACAATTAATGTCTCATTTGTAGGAACCGAACTGAAGCGGGTTATAACGGTTCGGTTCCCGGTTCCTATAAAAAATATGTGCATGGAACCGTTAAGGAACCATTATTAAAAAATAAAACATAAAATAATATTAGTAGTAGTAGTAACAACAACAACAACAACAACAACAACAACAACAATAATAATAATAATAATATAATAGCAATAATAACCACCACAACAACAACAATAATAAAACAATATAAGATATTTAACTAACAATTCTAATTTAATCAACGGAAAAGAAGTAATAAATATTGTACATGAGGTTGATATATACATTAAACTCCTTTCTAAAAATCAAGTTTTGTTCCATCACATAGAATTATAAATATAAAATAACTCAAATAACTTGTAATTGATTGCACATATTTTACTTTACTATTTTTATATAATTTCTAATTATTAGATTTATTATGAATCAATAGAATGTAATAATGTTTTTTTATATATACACGAAAACTCAATGTCTTTTTTTAAATGTTTTGAAAGACTTGAAGTAGGCGTCCTATTCTTGCTCTATGATGACGAGTAACCTTCATCGCTCCGACACTACAACGATTTTTAATGTTTCATTTATTACATGAAATTTTAAATCACTTTTGTTCTATTAAGTGTTCAAAGTTCATTAGTTAAGTTTGAGATTTAATGTTTGAAGTGATTAGAGCTTCAAATAAAATTTTAATACTCGTGTTTTGAATTTTTGACGTGTTTAAAATTATGTGTTAATTCTTAGACGAGAAAAACTTATTCTAGGAACCGGTAAAAGGAAGAACCGAACCGTTTACTAACAGTTCGGTTCCATAAAGGTTCCTGATTTTTTGTATAGGATCCGAACCGATTTCATTAGTTAAAACTTTTATAACGGTTCCACTCATTATATCTAAACAATTTCATTAAACAAATAAAATGAAAAAAATATTATTCCACTATAAGTCACGTTCGTGGGATGGGTAACATTAGAATTCTAAAAATCATGAGGCATTTTAACTTTTTTTGAAATTCAATCAAATATATTTTTGCTATAGAAGACGGAGAGATTAATTTGTTTCTCATAAATTTATGTTTAACCTATTTCCATACATAGGCCAAAGCAAAAATCAAAATTGAACGAGAAAAACTTAAGTGGTTAAGCGTCGCCATATATCTAAATTCTAAACTTGTTCCTTACAAATTATGTTTATATTATTCATTGCAAATTGCAAAACACACTCAATAGCCTTTAGTATATTGGGTTGTTTATTTGATTAATTAAGTTGGTGTCTTCAAAGAGAAAAACTTAATAAACAAATGTGATGGAGTATATGGCCCAGGAACCCCCGGCCCACAGACTCCTACTTCTCCTACAAAGGCCCATTGAGCCCATGGAACATCCGAGGCCCAAATACAGTGGCCCAAGTTCAAGGAAGCCCAAAATACACACTGGGGTGCCTTCGGCCACCTTGGCCGAAGGCTAAAAAACTCACAGAATAGCCTTTTCTGGGCATACAAAGCTACTGGGAAAAAACGGCAGAAAATATGAGCCTTCGGCATTGTAAGCCCTCGGCATCAGGGAAGCCTTCGACTACACAGGGCCTTCGGCTACATGAAGCCCTCGGCCACACGAAGCCCTCGGCTGCGTGAAGAGCCTTCGGATGAACAGACTCAATCATCGAAGATTCCCTTTGGAGACAGCCAACCACCGCATTTAATGCGACATCACATCCACCCACCGCATTCAATGCGGTGAACATGCCACTGCCGGTGCCACCCCGATTGAGGTGACCCCTCGGCCGTTGGATTACTGACACGTGTACTTTCATCGCATTTATTGCTGCTATAAATAGCAGCCCAGTTCCCCTTGTAAATGATCCACATCCCAGATCCCACGCTGAGTTCGTTTAATACAATCGACTCTCTCTCCTCCTATTTGTTCTAACTTCTCTCTAGTTATTCCCGCAATAACCCCTCGGATAAGATACCCCGGGAAAATGCATCAAATAATGCGGCAATATTTTGTGGGTGGTAAGGAGAGATATGAAAAAAAAAAAGTTCAAATCTGAACTACTAACTTAGACATGTTTCAAAATAAAGTTCAAAACTTTATTTAGTTTTTCATCTTGGGCATCAAATTTCCTAAAGACTGCCCTGGCTCTAGTTTTTTTTTTTAAAAGTCCTTAACTTTTTTTTTGTAGACATACAATTAAGAACTTTTAGAGACCTTTGAACTTTTGAAATTTATAGTACAAACTCAAGAAGTAGAAATTTGTGCCTCCTAGTAGATAGACATACACAAATATATCCATGATCTCATGAACAAAATTATATAAAGAATACACATAAGATAAAAAGCTCATGCATCAAAGAGGTTTATTAATTTTACGGAGTATATATTACCAGCTCCAAATTCCGCCAGAATACGGTACCATATAAAAGGAGTATAATAGGAAGTGCGTACTGCGTAGTAGTAAATTTAGTGTCATTAACCAATGGATCAAAGTAATAAGCACTAATAAAGGATAACTTAATTAAATTAAACACAATATAATAAAAGAGGATAACTTAATTAAATTAAACACAATATATAATAAAAGAGCTGCACGATATTATTGTCATTAAATGCACGTGCATTTAGGCAATTGAAGTGGGAAGTGCATCCACACTCTCCTTTCGCTTCTTCTTCTTCAAATATATAACGGCTATAATGACGGCTGCAATTATAACGGCTATAATGAAGAGTACAGTAATTATAATTATAATTTTACGAATTTTCTTGGTCTTCTTTTTAGACTTCATTTTCTTACTCAGTTTCCTTTTTCTATTGCTGTCTGTTTTGGTATGGGATAGCAGCCGTGTTGAAACGGCCGCTGCAGAGGGTGGCAGAGCCACAGAATGGGCAGTAAGCGGTGAGTGATCCGGAGAGATGACGACATTGAGGAGGCCGGGATGAAATGGAAAAGCGGGGAAGCGAGCGGGCGGGGATGGCGGCGTGGTCCCACTGAGCACTTCTCCGTCGTCTGCTCCGAGATCAGATGAAACGACGAAGGCCGCTCCTTGTAGGAGGAAGATGAGAGGAAGCATGAAAAGCAAAGAGTGGTGATGGTTACTTTTCACCATGATATTTGCACTTTGTGATTTTAAATTCCCCTGCAATTAATTTAATCACTTGTTATAAATACAACGTATAATTTAGAGAGGAATGATCATGTTCAGCCGGAGGGACAGGATCCTCCGTCCGGCCGCCGCCATTTGGGGTGGTTCCCGGTGGAATGTTAAAGGAATGTTCAAAAACGCAGTTATTTTCAAAAATTTATTTGACTACTTTCCCAATCGAAGTTTTAGCTGAAATTTTTGTGGATAAACTAGACTTGAGGAGGAACATGCCTGAAAATTTTCATCAAAAAATATTACCGGGGACCACCCCAAACGACAGCGGCCAGACAGAGGATCATGTCCCTCCAGTTGGACAAGATCTTTTCCGATAATTTAGATATTCAAAGTTATAGTAAAAGTTCTCAAGAAATTCATAATATATATAATATGATAAAAATTACTCCGTGAAATCTTAAATAAGAAAATGAAACTAAGTTGCCTTCACAAGAAAAACAAACATGCAAATTATTTTACAACATAAAAAGTCTATATTTGGGAAGAAATACACAAATAACACAAGGGGGTTACTACCTTTAAAATGCAGTACTTGGTAAAAAGTTCTTCTCAGCGCAGCTAAGATAGTTATGTTCCTAATCGAATTTTATGGAGGCGGGTTTAATATATAACAAAGACGAAATGAATGTGGAAAGAATGTTTAATAAGGTCCCTGTATAAGGAAAAGTATATTCCATATTTTTGTTTGTGTTTAAAACCTGAAAGATTCTTTTTTCTTAATGTTAAAAGATTTAATTTTCTCATATTCTCATACAGTCGTACTAATGTTAAAAGTCTTAAAACTTAAAACTATAAAATGAGTATACAAAAATAAGATTTTACGAACCTAGAAACATTATAAACTAAAAATTATTGAAACGCAAGAAAAAGTGAACACAAACTTCATTTTAAAAAGGAAATTAAAAACATGACGTTTCTGATATTATTATATTTCTAATATACCTGGCTTGCTGTTGCTCACATTTCTTCCCCAACTTCGACACGTACTTAATTTTTTTCTACATTTCTTTTTGTTTGGTCATACGAATCTCAGAAATCAGGAGGGAGTTGTAAGCAAAAAATGATTCTTTAATTTGTGAGAAAGAAAAACACTTTTACCGGTCAAAAGTTGGGGCCGTGAATGTAATTGTTCCTTTGTTTTATAATTTGTACTCAAGAAACTCGATTCGTTTCAATTACTATAGTTGATTAATGATAACTGTACTCTTTTTATTACATTTGGATTAATACTTACGATTAGAACAAATTGCGCTCACACAGCCACACACAAGCGGACGGGAGGCCTCATGCCTAGGGTTGGATCGGCGACTTTCGATCGTCCGCGTTTTGGCTTCTCTTCGCACGGCAATCGCGTCTCGGATGGTGGCTTTGGCGAACGAGCCTTGAGTTCGTAACCTGGGCGAACGAAATGGAGCAGAACGACACCAATGGAGTGGATGCATTCACTAACGGTCTCTACACGAAAATTAAACCCTCGTTAGTGAATGCCACTCGGGAGACGACAAGAAGTCTCTACACGAGGATACTAATGGTCTCGACTCTCGAGCATATTAATTAGATTTTAATTTTCCTTCTATTTTATCTTTCCAATGTATCCAAAAAATGACATATGTAATATGGATATGACCCAATCTTCTACACATGATCAAACCACAAGGTCCACAACATTCAATTCCACACTCACTAATAGTGGTGGATTCTAGCCGGGTCCGGGGCGGGCAACCGGTTCTAAATAGTTAGGCCCGGGTAGCTACCGGGTCCGGGCTGGGCCAGGCCTCTTTATATTTTTTTTTTCTTTTTCTAATTAACCCCCCGACCCCCCCCCCCCAAACACCCAGCCAAACCCGTTGGAATAAAAAAAAATGAAAAAACAAAAAAAAAAACGATTTCGGCCCGAACCGGGCCCGGCCGGGTCTCATTTTGAAGGAACCGTGCCCGGCACCGTCTCCCCCTCGGGCCGGGTCAAAGCCCGGTACCCGGACCGGTGAACCGGGCCGGTCCCGGGCCCGCACAGTAGCGGGCCGGGCTGGTTCACGGGCCGGGTGGCCCGACCCGAGTCCACAACTACTCACTAATATCATTTCGGGTTTCATAAAAAAATGCATCTCATTCAATTCTGTACTCAAACTCCTAGTTTGGAGTATCCCTATAAATTAGGCATTATAATCTAGCTTTGGAGGAGAGGAATCAGAGGAAATGAGGAATGGTGTTTTATGGAATTCTAATTAGTTCCATGAAATCTAAAATCTTTACAGATGGGGGACACTCCATTTCTTCCACCACACTACTCCCCTATTTTGAATTAATCGCGTGTATTCCCCCCCCCCCCCCTTTTTTTTTTAATACTCGTGTGTATTCCCCCTATATTTTCCACTTTTTCTCTTTAAATTCCCCCTGAACTTATTCTAGTTTTTTTCTACTGCGTACAATACTCACCCCTTACTATTATTCTAAAATATACTCATATGTAAAAATCTAGTTTCATTTATTCAAGAACAAAGGGAAGTAATGTTCTTATATTTATTTTAGAAAGCATATTAACAGATAGGTTCACGAGCCTATGATACATTGCAAATAAACTGAACAAGGTCAAATGAAATCTGTAAATTAGTACTAACATAACTACCAGAACTTGAACTTGAGTCCATACAAGTTAGCAAATCCGACCACAATAGATAAAACGAATGCGTACAGTAGCAAGATAGCAAGTGCTGAGGATGATGTAACAGACAGCGTATCAACAGATAGGTTCACGAGCCCTGTAAGCATGTTAGCCTGCACATGGTGCGATGATAAGTGTGTTACAGTGTCATTACAGACTCAAATTATTGATAATATAAAGAGACGTGAGGGAAAGTTAGATTTCATCACCAGAAGAAAAGATGCTAGAAGGTTTTGGTTAAAAGCTTCCTCCAACACAGATATTTTGTGTTGAGATGCATAACCAGAAAGCATGATTATACCCAAAACCTGAAAAATACCAGACTTGTGATTGGTATGCTGTCTGTGTTTTGCATGCTACTTTTTGACTCCCTTATAGTTTCCAAAATTATCCCTTGTGGAGCCAACTATGTCAAATTCATTTCAAAAAAGTTAGGAGTGATTGGTGATTTGGTGGATTAAGATAAATAAGAAACTAGAGGTTTTCAAATTAAGAAAGTGAGCAATATTTTAGGATAAATATGGTGGGGCAGGGGAGCATCTATTTTATTAAGTGGTAAAACTACGATAAATTGAATAGGGAGAAGAGGTCAACGCCGTTTTTATCATGGGTTGAGGCATTTATATAAGATTGAGGAGAGCTAAAAAGCATACCTGTAGATTTTGAGCCAAAACAAAACTAACATAAGCCAGGTTGCACTGCACAAGAAGTGTTGAGTTAGGTGTGAAAAGGCTCTTGCAAATAAGACAGCTTCCCTCATCCTCTGAGAGAGAGAGAGAGAGACTTCAATGAAAGCCAATTACCATTCTGCGTGAAACCCTCTCAACGTGCTTGTCAAGAATATATGTCAACAACCTGCATAGCCGAAGTCCCAACAAAGCAACATAAGAAACCTAGAATATTGGTCCTGTTTCTTTTTGAATTAATAACGAATATAGTGGACAAAATTGTGGTTTTTAATATGCAGTAAACCTCGTAGATATTGTAATGTCCATGATTATGTATTCATTATATTGACCTCAAAGATATTTCATTATTTTTTTGGATAACACCCTTTATTTTCACTCAGACCATAAGTTTTCACCAAGTTTAAGAATGAAATTGTGGGTGTAGTGAATAGTGTAGAAAAAGTGAAAAAATAGGAGTCAAGATGAAAAAAGGGAAATTATTAATGAGAACATGAAACAGAAGGCCATTTGACATATTTCTTATCCCCAAAACGGAAAGTGGAGCCAGAATAAAGTGGAGGCAGTATAAACGGAAAGTAGAGCATGTAAATAAATGGAGGGTAGTATCAATCAATAACAAGTATGCAAATTTTTAAGAGTGCTGCAGAAATCGCACCAGAATGATAGAGATAGCGCGCAAACTCTTTTCATTGCCCATTTATTGTTTCTGAAAGTAGTAGCATTATAGTGGTTCCCGAAAAAAAGATAGTGTCCTAATTGGACACCAATAAGGTACAAACTCCAATAACCTAAGACAAAAATAAAGAGCAAAGTGATCACATAAATCTTAATATATCTATATACCAGCAAAAAGTGGAATTAGGTGAGAGACAGAGTGTGAGCGAGAGAGCATGGGAGAGGGGGGGGGGGATTAGCATCCAAATTGCATAAATATTTGGATGGAACTTGCCAAAAATGCTGAAAACCCCTTCCTTGTTTTGGCTAATTAAATCTGCTCCTCTTTTATCATCTGAGAGCAGATACTCATTAAACCCAAGTAGCAAGCATAGTTGATACCCTTAAAGTACAAAGCTGTGTTAGTCATCTATGTCATGCAGTAAACAAAAAATAAAACGAAAATATAAACCATATGTCTCTAGTCTCTATACCTAGCAGAATGAATAAGCCAAGAATCCCACAGTAATTTGGAGGAACATTAATGATTGACGATAGGATTGCCACACCAGCGAGGGTGAAAAAGAAATTCCAATGCATTCCATACTCCCCTACATGAACCTAAAAAGGAAGATGAAGACTTTGATCATACAATATTACACTCACAAGCATTTAGCGATAACTTAGTTTCCTCTTTATATGAAGTAAAGTAATTTTACCAAGGAACTCTAGAGTGAAAGGGTAAAAAATCAATCAGGACCTACTTACGCCATCACTTTAAGTTTATTTAAATAAAGCATGGTAAATCCAGATGGACAAATCGGTTAAAGGTTAAAATGAAAAGCATTTACACTGATTTAGATATATTATTCACCAAACCAAGAAAATAAATAATGACTTACTAGTGACAACTCAAAAAGGAATTACCTAGTAAGATGCAAGGAATAATACACTCTTGCTAGTCTATTTGCTATACATATTTGAAAATATGAGTCGTTTTCTTGATGGACATGTTTTGACTATTATGCATGAACGCATAACCACCCGGAATCAAAATCCTTATTATTCTACATGCCCCAAGGGATTATACAATTAGGTACTTAGGTCACACAATTCAAACAAGTACCATGAAAATTCATTTACCTGGTAGTCTACACTTGATGTAGAAATGAGTCGGACAAGGCCTAGAAATATCAGTGGCCAGGTTGAACGCAATGAGTTAGAGAAACTCCTAGATGTTAAAACGCAACTTCATCATTAAAGAACAACCATGTTCAAATAAAAACACAGAGCAATCATACGTGACTTTATATAAAACCTATATTATATTCCCCAACTATTTCCATAAGAAACTGATGGTTACTTACACTGCTGAGATTCCACGTGCCTGACGTGAAACGAATGAATTTGTCAATACAAATGAGCCTACACCGAGATCCATCTGGCACAAATGGCAGAATTATAAATATCTTAACATTAGAAGATGCTTACTTCTAATGAAGTCCATATCAAAGAATTAGGTCATATATCAAAAGGAGCACCGAATTATTTTCTAATATACGGTTGACTAGATGCAGAAGGGGGGCCTTGGTGCACCGGTTCAAGTCTTGGGAGCGGCCTCTTGTCAAAATTTGACATGGGAAGGCTTGCCTCTTATACACCCTTGTGGGGGGAGTGTGGGACCCTTCTCCAGAGTCCAGACCCTCGCCTTGTGGGCGGGGATGCCTTCGTGCACCAGTCTTCCCTTTTTTATATGGTTGACTAAACACACTGCCTTTATGAAACATTACATGGATAACAAACAAAAGACCATCAATGTTCTAGATAATATGTGCTCTACAACCTTCCTCCATCAGGAGCTGTGCTCCCTAGATTATCTTGGATTTGCATCCCCCCGATCAAGTGTATGTAGTATCTCATGGTGAGGTTGTAGTGGATTTCGAGGCCATTTGGCAACACTGTTTTTCGGCTTATCAGCCAACTTTTTCACCAAACATGTAACTTTTACTTTCGCGCGTTGAATTGTGTAATAAGCAGAAAAAGTAAAGTTGGAGTTACTTTTCTGGTTGTATTGGCTGAAGTTACTGTAGATGACCATTTTAACTATTTTTAGATATAATTTTTTCTTTATTTAATTAATAAAATATATTTTAAAATAATTTTTTCTTAAATCAACAGAATCAGCCAATACAGCCACTTCAGCCAGAACTTCATAAATTTCAGCAGAATTAGTCAAAACAGCCATTTTTCGTGCTACCAAACGGGCTCTTCTTGTTGTCCTCACTATGTTGTTCCCTTGTTTGTGCTTTTGCCATCCCAATGGCTTGGACACAATTGTTGATAGTCAAGGATGAACAAGGCAGGGGCTATTTGTCTAAAGTACAAAAGATGTTAGGGCCTAAACATTGTTCCAATGGTCCCCCCCCCAACGGCTCAAGTTCACCTCCTTACATAACTTGTGTCATTTTTAAGGTTAAATTATGGTTTAGTCCTGGTTTCTAATACATGCATTTAGAAGTATGTTGGTATGTCTAGCTTATGTAACCCTCGACTCAAGTTCATAACTCAATGTGTGATTCATTATACCCCGATCAGGGGTGTAAATTCTATATCTAGAGCTTGATTATTTCTCTACGGTTAGGGTTTGTAACTGATGTAATGATTTAACATATACGTAGTATTTTTCTTTTTAAAATAAAGTGCTAACATGTTATATACAACAAAGTTTGGAAAATAAATTACTAAGAATAACTGAGATCCAGGAAAAAGTACTGCACTTAAGGTTATATGCAAACATTACACTCACGCACAAACTAAGCTAAAGGCATATCTTTCTGAAAATGTTAATTAAGAGAAGGTTATACAAGGAACACCCAGCTTCTAATGCCAGTCTTAAAGCATGACGAAAGTTCAGTTAAATTTGAATTTGAATGCCTAACAGTCTCATCCAGGAAAACCAAAAAACACACAAACAGATGTGTAAGTGCAGGGTCACACCTGTGTGAATGAATCAATGCACAAATATAGTCATATATTAGGTTGAATTATCTTACCAAGCTCGTTCCGTAAGTCTCTGTTTTTGCAAATCTTCTAGGAAATATTTTGAAGTCAACAGCCAGAATACACAAGCATGTAAGAAGCATCTGCAATAACCATTGTTAATGAAGAGATAAAATTGTCTGGAGAATATAAATCCTCTGAAAAGATTATCAGAGTACGCATATACCATGGATACTCTGTATGCTGATATATTTTGCCTAAGAGATTGGAGCCCATCATCCTGAAAAGGAGATCCAAACCTGTAT